TCTTTACGGTGCTAGTCACTCTTCGGTGAGTTGGTTTCGTTCGTATCTATCAAACAGGAGACAGTATGTCCAAGTATCAAACAATACATCTTCTTCTTTGCAAATATCAACTGGAGTTCCTCAAGGCTCAAATCTAGGCCCAATCCTGTTCTTATTATTTATWAATGACCTTCCYCTGCATCTTGGAAGTTCCACTCTAGACATTTATGCAGACGATGCTACACTGTCTGCGAGCTCTCACTGGCAGCAGCCTAACCAAATTTCAGTGACATTAAAYAGAGATATTGGAAATATTGAACAGTGGACCCGTGAAAATAAAATGGCAATTAATGTGAGTAAGACAAAATCGATGCTTGTAAGTGGAAAGAGACTGCGTAAACGCCCGGGAATAGCTGAAACATTGGACATCAATGTAAATAACACTGACATTGAACAAAAAAAGAGTCACAAGCTTCTAGGCGTGATCCTCGATGAAGATCTCGATTTTAATGAACATGTTGGAACACTATGCAAGAAAGTCTCTAAACGCATCGGTTTATTACGACACATTAGTCCGTACCTAAAACGCACCCAACGGGAATATTACTACAATGCAGTGATTAAGCCAGTTATTTTATACGGAGCCAGTATTTGGTCTTATGGTAACAAGGGACAAGACAATATAATACTCATGTTGCAGAAAAGAGCAGCGAGGATAATAACGAACAAGGACAGACACTCAAGATCCATTGACATTTTTAACTCATTAAATTGGTTGCCATATTACGCTGAGGCGTATATTCATCGCCTAGTGGTTTTATTTAAACGTTCAAGAGGACAGACACCACTATATTTAAATGAATTTTTCAAATTGAATAGCGATACACATGATAGAACAACTCGTTTTTGTAAACTTAATTTTAATTGCCCTTTTTATAAGAAAAACTCAGAAGGTGGGCGTTCATTTTCAGTTCGTTGCACAAAAGATTGGAATAAGCTCGATAAATATCTTAAAGAAGCAACCAGTGCCCAGTCTTTTAAAAATTTACTTTTTAATAGCCTAATTCAAAGACAAAAATCAGACCTTAATTTTTATTGATTATGTTCAGCTTTCCATTTTCATTCGTTTTCTTAATTACTTAATTTCAATCATCAATTCATATTGTAAATAATATATATATTTTTATCGCATAATTTTATTACTATTCTGAATATTTATATTAATATATTTTTATAGATTTATCTTTGTTGATGATTAGTACGAGGGCCACTAGTTTATCAGTTGCAGTACTGTCAAGTGTCACCCTCTATAAATAAAGTTTATTGTATTGTATTTTATTGTATATTAAGCAGACACCTACTTGCTTACAAGAAGTGAGTTACAGTCAATCCTCACTATAATAGAAGAGCATTTAGATAAGGATGTCAATGACATAAACCTACTAAAAAAACTCTTAAAAATTACAATAACATTGTTAAAAAATGTCCAAGAACAGCTGGATACAGTT